AGTCCAGGAGCACTGGGACTGTGGGCAGCCAGTCCAGGGGCACTGGGGCTGCGGGCAGCAGGTCCAAGAGCACCAAATCTGCCACCCCCAGCCGGGGGCAGGGGGCAAAGCCAGACTCCACTCAGCCGAGACCCACATCATCCAGTGGAGCCCAAGGAGATGCTGCGGACCAGCATAAAGCGTCCCCCAGGAGTTGCTCTGCAAGCCAGAAGAAGCCATCTAATGCCAAAGGAGCCACCGGTCCAGCCAGACCTGACCCACGTGCACAGAAGCAGCAGCCTGGGGCTGATCCTAGTGATGCAGTGGGCCGGTTCTTGCCCCCCCTGGAGACCTGGGACATCCCATGGGTGGAAAAGGAGACCCGGGGCCAGCGGAGCAACCCCAAGTGGTACGAGTGGCGGGAGAACCGCATCACGGCCTCCGTGGCCCCCAAGATCGCCAACAGCAAGTTCGCCAACGGCAAGACAGACGAGGTGCCCCAGTCCTACCTGAAGGCGGTGGTGAGCTCCAGCCCTGGGGTGCAGACACCGGCCATGTCCTGGGGGATCCGCAATGAGAAGGTGGCCGTGCAGGCCTACGAGCAGCTGAAGTCGCAGGCGGTGGGCAAGGAGGTGCGGGTGGAGGACTGTGGCCTCTTCATTGACCCGGAGAAGAAGTGGATCGCCGCTAGCCCAGACGGGGTCATCAAGGAGGCGGCCACAGGGAAGATGCTGGGGCTGCTGGAGGTGAAGTGTCCCTACAAGCACAGGAACAGGACAGTGCGTGAGGCCTGCAAGGACAAGGACTTCTGCCTGGAGGTGGACGGGGACTCCTACGCTCTGAAGAAGGATCACGCCTACTTCACCCAGGTCCAGTGCCAGCTGGCGGCGGCCGGCTTCCAGCAGGCCGACTTCGTGGTGCACACCACCAAGGAGACGGCCGTGGTCCCTGTGGAGTTTGACGCCCAGTTCTGGGGGCGCACGGTGCCCAAGCTGGAGAAGTTTTACACCGAGGCGGTGGTTCCCCACCTGGAGGAGAAGGCAGGCGGCTCCGTCTGGGCCAAGGAGGAGTAAACACCCCTGCCCTCACTCGTCTGGATGCTTGCTTGGCCAAAAAAACCCAGCTTTGACCCCTAGCATACATGTTAGACCCAGTTTTGCTGCTGGTTTTGGACTGTTCACTGCCTCTGCCCCAACGCAACTGAACCGTTGTACCAGCAGGGCCCTGCTTTGGGAAGGGTCCCCTCAAACAGTGCCTTCTTGTCTTGTCCCTCTCACTGCAGCCCCCATCCGCCCCCTTGGCACCACCTGACAGAAGCTGGCACATCTGGATCTGCAGGAGAAGCCAGTGATACCTGCACGCTGGAATAATGGACCAATTTAGTGGAGAAAACTGGATCCTTTGGCACCTCAACTGCTGCCAGGACTAAACTGTACCGCCACTGTGGAGCAGCCAGCCAGGGAAGGTTTGGCAAAGCCCAAGAGCAAAACGCCGTTTTTTGAGCTAAATACCGGTGTGCCGTGAGTCGCAGCAAGGGCACATGGATGCCTTTCCTCCCCGAGCCATCAGACCTGCTCCTCCCTTGGAGTAACCCGTGATGGTGCTCATGATGAGTCAGCTGCAGCCCAAGGAAGATGGAGCCCATTGGAGAGGCTGTCCCCCCAGCCCATGCACCTTCACAGGACCTTCCTGTCAGGGCACAGGTGGTCATTGCTCCATTAAATACAAGATGTGTTGGTCTGGTTTGTTCCCTGTCATTTGTGCAGCTCAGTGTTTACCTGGGGGGGGAAAGGGGAAGCAGGGCTGGGTGGGACCTCCACACCAGGTCCCAGAGGAACACGACCCAAAGCCACCACCGTTATGGCAAAAGTACTTTATTATATACATCAGACTCCAGCCACACTCCACAGGGCAAGGACCAGAATTTGCTATTTTACATATCAATACAAAGTAACTATAAAAACATAAAGCACTTATGGGGCCCAGGCTTTCCACAGGAGGAGAGAGGCACAGGGATGAGCCTGGGGGCTGCTGAGTGACAGGGGGCTGCCCCACAGCCTCCCCCCAGCTGTGGTCCCACAGTAACCAGATGTGCAAGGGAGAAAGAACCCAGTTAAGAAATACAGCCACAGGGACTGGCAAGTGGGGGGGGGGTTCCCGCTGCCCCCCAAGTGTTACCAAGGCAGGAGCAGGGTCTGTGTCCCCCAGGGAAAGTGCAGAAGGCACATGGGCTCTTTGGAGGGGCTGTGAGGAGGAGGTGGGATCCAACAGTGCACGCAGGGCCCTGGGACATCTCACACACACACACACTGTGCATGGGGGACACAGGGTGGGGGGCCACCTTCCACTACCAGACTTAACCAAGGGCACGTCCTGTGTCTCCGGAGCAGCAGTTGCATAGCAGAAGGGGCTCAGGGCCCACTCGTGACAAGTCGTCAGGGTTCACTCTGTATGTCTAGGAAAAATAACACAAACAAAAACCAAACCCCACTTCTGTGATGGAAGAAGCGCTGGGAAGGAAAGGGCCTCCCAGCTCCATCTGAGCCCAGGGCTCAGCATCCAGCTGGTGTTGAAGCTGCTGCTCCACCAGCGGCCCTGCAGGCAGATGGGGAGAAGCCTGTTTTAAGCTGGAAAACATAGAAAGCAAACCAGGCACTCTCCTGCTCCCCTTCTGGAGCGCTCCCAGCCCTGCCACAGCCAGATCCGGGGATAACTGCTGAGTCTCCTACCGGGAATCCCACCCCTCTCTCACACAGGAGCCTTCAGTGCAACTGGAGGTGAACCAGGGAGGGCTGCTCATCCTCTGTCAGAGGATGCCTTTGCTGCTCCTGACCCAGCTGGACTATCCTGGGGCCACAGGTGCAGCAAACAAAACCAGGAGCACCACGGGCCAGGGAATGGACCTCCCCTGTGCAGCTGATGAGCCAGAGAAGGACGGCTCCACCAATACCCCAAAACGCAGAGCCCGAGACTGCTTCAGACACCAGCAGGACCCATGTCCCTTCGCCTCCGGCCCTGAGGGCAGCACACGATGTGGAGGGAGCTGACCTGGGCTGCAGCTACGCACTGGAAGAGAGCTGGGGTCACTGGGGCTTTGTCATTGCAGCCCACCCAGAGGTTGGAAGAAAGGAAAGGAAAACAGCAAGGAAAAAGGAAGAAGGGGAGTCACATCTGGGGGTAAGTGTAAGCTTCCACCACACCACAGAAAAACTACTTGGGCTAGGATCTCCTCGGCTGCCCTGAGGGAAAGGCACTGAGCCAGCTTTGTGCAAGGACAGAGGTGTTCCCGAGTGACCCCAGAGTGCGGCTGGACCACCCTCCTCCCCCCCACACTGCCGCTGGAAAAAAAAAACAGAAGCCCCGGGGCAGCCCCTCCCCACCGTTACTGTGCAGTGATTGTCTAGCCAAACCGGGCGACAGTCTTCAGTTAAAAAAAAGGGACCCCCGGCCTCCCTGCTCTGCAGGACCTTCAGTCACAGAAGCGCTTGCGGGGCACCGTCCGCGCTCGGTTCGAGCGGCGAATCTCCTGCTTGGCATCGCGGCACCGCTGGCAGATGAAAACCTCAGGCACGTTGGATTTGCGGATCTTGGCACAAGAGAGGTGGATCCAGGTAGCGCACTCGTTACATTCGATCATGGGCCTCCCCGCGAAGGGCTTCAGGCAGAAGCAGGTGATCAGATCCCAGGCATCGTCATCTGGTCAGGGAGAGACACCGGTCAGAAACCACGGCACTGGCTGCAGGCCCGGCGGGGGCCAACGCGGCTCCACACCCCGGCTGTGGCCACGCTGGCCCATTCCACCCATGTTTAATGGGAGAGCCCCCACTCACCTTCTGCTTTGGTGTTGGGAGCTGCTGCGAATTCTTCTGCTTAAGGTGCAAAAAGGAAAAAAAAAAAAAAAAGAGATTAGCAAGGCACCTCTACGCCCCACTTTAGACGTGTTTCAGAACAGAGCTTCGACAGGGCAGGCCAGCTCCCTCTCTCCCCTGTTCCGTCCTTCCAGGCCCCAGTGGGGCTCCCTTTGCTGGAACAGGCCTGGGCCATCAACGAGCCCTCCCTGCAGCCAGCACGGGTGGCTCCAGCTGAGGGAGGGACAACATTTGGCTCTGGCGCTCCCTTGGACACTCACCACTAAGCTGGGAGCTCCCTCTGCTCGCATCTTCTCCCTCACTTTGGTCCAAGGTACTACAGGAGCTGGGGCTTTTCCTCCCTCCAGAACACGGGTTGTGCTCCTTTAGCTGTGGCTCATCTCCTGCTGGCTTCCTGCTCCCCTGTGCGCCATCCATCCAGTCCTTCTTCTCCTTCATCAGCTCCTCCAGGAGGGAGTTGGGCTGGGGGTCCCCAGCAGGGTTAGGGGAAGGCTCCAAGGGCTGCTCCTTCATGGGAGATACCTGTCCCTCCAGCGCAGCCAGCTCCTTCACCCCATCCTGCTCTGCCCCAAAGGCCTTCCCAGCACTCAGAGGCACCCTCTTCTCCACTTTCTCCTCCAAAATGAGTTTCTTTGCCGGTGGTTTCTTCCGTTTGGTTTGCTGGGGCCGGACGTCGTAGAAGCCGGTGGGGAAGGCAGGGCAGCTCACGAGCAGGCTGTTGTCCGCAGCCCCCCTGCCCGCAGCGTTCCTGTTCCTCCTGTTGTCCGTCAGGACGTGGCAGTCAGAGGAGTGGGACGAGGCCCAGCTATCGCTGTCCTGTGTGCTCCCCGTGCTGTTCTGGGGGCTCATGCTGCCTCCGTGGGTCCAGGGCTCATTCTGCAAGAGAGGAAGACACCGGACTAGCATGGGAGAGCACAGCACAGACGTTCAGGTTAAGGAGTAAGGGGATGGGGAATGACACCCCAGCATAAGGACTAGGAGCTGGGTCTGCACATGGCAGGTAGCACAGAGGAGCCGGTATTTTGGCAGAGGAACGCCCTGCGAGCCCGCTTACCTCTTCAGGGTAGGGGATGTAGCCTGCGTAGGCCAAAACGAAGGTGCAGAACTGGTTGAAGTCCTCCACGGTTCTCTGCCGTTTCTGCAAAGGCTGCAACGAACGCCACGCGTCGATTAAACTCCCTGGGTACCCCCATCCGAGCTGAGCATCACAACCCACCCCAGCAGGCAGCCCTGGACCGCTGGGCCGTTATACAAGTGCATAATATTTAGGTCACCCAAACACCCGTCCTTCCCCT